GTGTGTGTGTGTGTTTGTGTGTGTGTGTGCATGTTTTTATATATAATTCATACAAGCAAAATTAATAAATATAAATGTAAAAATTACAAATACATTATTTAATGCAAATATGCACATGAAAATGTATTTGTTTAATTAATTTCATTAGATAAAATACATATAAATAAAATCATAATAATACAAATATTACAAAATCATAAAATAAACTAACAAATAAAACAATTTGGCATACAAGCAAAATGAATAATGCCGTACAAATACATTTTAATTCTAATTAAAAACAAAAACAAACAAACAAATAAATAAATGTATCTGATTATTTATTAATTTGATTTAAAAAAGAACAATTATAAAAACAAATCATAAAAAACATATTAACCCTTAAATTCATACCTCGAGTCTTTAGCGACCCAGGACATCATTCTCTACCCTCTCCCTCAATTTTTTTAAGTTACACATTAACTTTCTTAGTATTCCTCAATCTATTAATTATAAACAATATAACAAGAAAAAAATGGTAAAATATAAAAGAATGCCTGTTTTCTGATACATTTTTTGTAAAAAGTGTATAGGGTCGCTAGAGACCCGAGGTATGTAAATGTTTAAGTATTTTTTCCTGCGCAACTATATTTACATATCCGATGACTCAATGTGTGCAATGAATCTTTTTTCCTCAAGGTGGCACTGTTTGATACACAATGATGACGTGACGTTTCATTCATAATTACCGCAGGCATAAAACAAACAAATATCATCAGCAAAAATTGAAGTGGTTTGAATGGTTTTACTGCAGAGCAATTACTATACGCAATGAAATATAAATGTCACTGCCATTTGATGCTGGATGTGATGAATAAGCTTCCAGTGATCAAAATATTGAATATGAAGTCATTGAAAACGATAGTTTTAGAGAATAGGTTGCGATCGTGAATTTGAGGCAGATGTTGAATATACAGGCAGATGTTGAATATACTGTGGAAGTGCGCTCTGACGATGACAGCGATTGTAAAATCATCTGCTCAAATTGAACCCTTTTTAGTTTCAAAAGGTAATGAAATATGCTTTATTTTATTCTTTTGTAATTGTTCTTAAAATATCAAGATCATTTTTTGCTATTGCAGCAGTCAGAGATCCATCCGTGCTGGATATATAGGTCCGGGTCGCTAAAGACCCGAATATGTAATAATGATTGGCGAAACATTCATGCATTTAAGGGTTAATATAAAGTTTATTTTGACTAAAGACACTGTAAAACACTAACATCTGTATGGCATCATTATTCTGTTGGAAGTCATGTTTGATTTGCATTCTGTGTCTCTTCCTGTGATATACGCTGTAAACACACTTCAGGTGTTCGGATCAGCACCATCTGGCGTCGTGGCTGTTATGCAACCAGAAGCATGATGGGAAGGCCTCGCTCCAGACGGGAACACAGCCAGCAGTTCGGCCGCCTCACAACACGCTCATTCATTATGCTGACCTGCTGCATCTATTTACATGCACTGCTGGAGTGGAGGAGTTTGCTATTGCATTTTACTGACAGCAATGTTTGCTATTTTTATTGACATCAAAATAGAGAGACTGTGGCGTTCCTGTAGCTCAAAGAGTACAGCATGACGCTAGCAACATGAACTGATTGAATGTATAAAACTCTGAATGTAAAAACAGTCACTTTGAATAAAAGCACCTGTCAAAATTCAGATTTATTTTCAGTTGATCTGATTTTAAATGCTTGAATTTGTGTGAAAAGGAAGGATTATAAATCAGACGTTAGTTGTACCATTCGTCCGTTCTTCAGGAAGTGCATGTGGGGTTTGGGTTTCCCGCTGGCCAGACAGGACATGATGTAATCGCCTCCGATGTCTCTCTCCGAGCTACTGATCTTCTCCACCCATTCAGGAGCTCCTGAGTCAAACACAAACTCACGCGTAAACCAGTGTTATTTAGTATCATTTAGATACTATTACAGTATTTATTAAGATTTTGAATTAGTTATTTTAGTGCATTAAGTTAAACTAAATGAAAATGAAAAACACTATCTTAGCAACTAGTAAAAAAAAGTTTGTATAATTTTTTTCGTTTAGCATTTATTTAAATTAAAGTATTTATTATTATTTATTTTTATCATTTTAGTTTTAGTTAACTATTATAAACCCTGATGTAAACTAGCAGTGCTTTACAGGACTATTCTTGCATTTGAACAAATCCTAAAACATTAAGAATTGAACATTTTTGCATTTTTATTGGTATTGTGATAACACTTTAGCTTAGGGACCAATTCTCACTACTAATTAGTTGCTTATTATCATAAGCACTTCCGGCTTCGCTACCGTTCTGACGTTCTTGCTTATTGCTCTGCGCTTTGCTCCCTATTTCTGTACTTTTCTCAGATTTTTCTAAGATTTTTACTTCAGCAGATCAGCACAGTGCTCAAACAACACAATTTTTAGCACAAACACTAAAACTAAAAACTCTTTGGGACTAGAATAATACTATAAAAAAGGGGACTTTTGCCTCCCACTGCCAACAGCTTACATTCCGGAGAAGGGAAAACACAGCTGTCTACATTCACACAGAAGAGAGAGAATAATGCCTCCATTTGAATCTACTTGTTGCATAAACTGCCACAGACTTCTACAAAGGATTGTGGTTCTTGAAACAAAGTTACTTGCTGGACTTACAAAACAGGCAGAACACTCAGCAGACCGTCATCATGGACCCCCTCAGCATTCAGCCAGTGAGTCCTGTGAATCTAGTGAATCTCAACAGATTATACCAAGTGTACCAACAAGCCGAAACTGATCGACAGACAAATCGATGGCACAAACAGGGAGCGAGACCCAAAGGCACTCGAGACATCAGATTATCATGAGTATATCGTATTGCTGCCGTAGCATCCTCTACCCCAGATTCGGCTATGACAAGGCTTGTGAATACTGGTATTCTGCCTATACATCTTGAGAACAGATTTGAAGCATTAATGAATGTGGGTGAGGAATCCCCAAATGTGATTAAAGATGGATCGGATCACCCAGCAGCTAACATCGCTACTAACAGGCGCTCAAGGTCGAACAGACAGCGGCTTTCAGCTCAGAGCGCAGCCGAGCCCAGGACTCTGATAGTGGGCGACTCCATTATCAGAAACATCAGTAGCAGAAATACAACAACATGCTGCTTTCATCAAGCAACCGTCTCTGATGTGAACAGGGATGTGAACAGGGAACTCCGGAACATTCTGATGAAGCACAAGACTGCAAATCGAATCATCATCCATGTGGGGAAGAATGATATTTGGAAAGAGCAGTCAGAACTCCTTAAGAAGGATTTCAGTGAACTCTTTGAAACACTTAGAAAACTCAATTTGTCTCAAAAACTTGTCAGTGGACAACTCCCAGCAAGGGGAACTAACATGTTTTCACAGTTGCTTGGGCTGAACACATGGCTACAACGATCTTGCAATATAAAAGGAGTGAATTTCATCGACAACTTTAATCTTTTCTGGGGCCATAGACAACTGTTTAAACCGGATGGCCTCCACCCAAACAAACTTGGTGCAAGAGTGCTTAAGGACAATATCTACTTCTCCCTCTGTCATCCTTCAGCAGAGTGTGTCAATCCACTCAGCCTGAATAGCACACACACACCTGGTCCGAGTCGTCATGTGGTTGACACATCCCACAAGGACACTGATAACACCACACAGCCACAACAAGCACTGCTCATGGACAACATTCCGGCTGAGCCCTGCCCACAGAGCTCATCACAGACAGACAGCTCCAAGACTCAGCACCCAAGGACGACTTTCTGGAAAACAGCCAGGGAAGCCAGGACAACATATCACAGCCACCGGAAACACCAGAGCCACAGCCCCGCTCACCAGACACATTATCCCTCTCTCCAGCATCTCCACTTCTAAGTCACAGAAAATGGAGGAACTGGTGTATGCTGGGACCAAACTCTCCCACTCTTTCGCTGCAAGTCCTCAGTTATCAACTAAAAAATGGCGGGCCCCACAACCACCAAAGCCTGTGGACCCAGCTCGCCCTCCTCCTCCTGTGAGAGCTCTACGGCCGCTGCCACAACGCCAGGACCCAAACCCTCCTCCATCTGCTGTAGGTGAACCAAAAACAGCTGATAGCAGCTCTCAGTAATATGTGTTGGGTCCCCGCTATGATAGCAGCAACATTCACAAATGTTTACAGAACAAGCAGGAACCCAGTGTGCCTGTAGCTTTCTCTATTTCTGTTTTATCACGTGATAGAAAGTCTAAGGCCCAATCCCAATTCTACCCCTTAGCCCTTCCCCTTTCCCCTACTCCTCCATTTCGCGTGTTCACGTGAAGGGGTAGGGGTGTCTCGATTCTCTTTTGGTTGGAGGGGTAGGGGTAAGGGGAAGGGCCAGACAGCCCTTCAAACAAAGATTTTTCGGGACCACACTTCAAACGAAGGGGTATGAATTATCTCAGCGCAAACCGGCTTTAGCGGCAACATGGCTGCCCGAGCGAACAAAAGACACATAAATGTAAGCATTTTTGGCATTAATAAAGATTTTAACAAAAAGTAATAATTTGTTTTGTTACATTCAATCGTGAGTTCATATTTACGGTCATGTTACTCAAAGAAATGTTTGCAAAAAATCGCTAATATTTGCTAATTTCATATAATTATAGACTGCACGATAGTGCCACAACATATTTTCATGTCTGATCAGGGCGATAACCACCGTAGACATTGAGGGGGGCTAGTCCCCCCAATTATTAGAAATCGCTAAACCCTTTTCTCAAATATTGCCAATTCAAGAGAGAGAGAGACAGAGACAGAGAGAGAGATGAAAGTTGCATGTATGCGCGTCTGTACGTTTCTCTTTTTAGAGTGAGTTTACTTAAAAACCAGCGATTTTATCCTCTCGTTGCTGGAAAATATAATGTAGCGATTCAGTATTTAAACTGTTATTAATAAAAGTCGTGGGGCAGCGTTGACAAGTTTCTTTTCTCCTGGATGTGTGAGCTGCGCAATCTCCGATATATATGTGTGTGTCAGTAAGCAGCGCATTAATATAGAACAGTAATTAAAGGCTCTAATGAACACCAGCACACCAGTATAGGTATGTGTATTGTAGCAGCTAGACGACGTATGATGACGTGTGACGGCATAGTAGTGGTGTCCCAATTCTTAGGGGAATATTTTCACCCCTACCCCTTGACACTCTGTTTCAAGGGACAAGGGGAAGGGGTATAAAATAGAATTGGGATTGGGCCTAAGGCCTTCTCAAGCCGTACGGCTGACCAATCTAATCTGCGGCCTATTATGCATCAAAATAAGATTGCTGTAAAGACACAAAGCAATGCCATCAAGTTAGCATTTTTAAACATTCGCTCACTAAAAAATAAATCATTTCTGATCAATGACTTAATAACCCCAAACAACCTGGATTTTATGTTTCTAATCGAAACATGGCTAGAAGACAGCTGCAGTGCAACAGTCCTCAATGAAACAGCCCCTCCTAACTTTACATTCACGAGTGTCTGCAGGATTGTTAGGAGAGGTGGAGGTGTAGCTGCTCTATTTAAAGATGTCTATCAATGCAAGCAAGTGTTATTTGGTCAGTACTTGTCTTTTGAATATCTAGGGATTGTGTTGAAAGGTGCTCCATGCATTCTGTTTATCATTATTTACAGGCCTCCAAATACTCTCCAGCCTTTGTTGAAGAGTTCACAGAACTACTATCAATGATTTCCTCAGAGTATGACTGTTTTGCTATTGCAGGGGATTTTAATAGTCACATAAATAATGCAGAAAACAAAACTACAAAATAAATTATTACTGTTTTAAACACTTTTGGCCTGATTCAGCATGTGCATGGACCCACACACAATCGTGGACATACTCTAGATTTAATCATCAGTAGAGGTCTAAACATTTCATCCATTGTTATTAAGGACGTAGCACTATCTGATCACTTCTGTATTTTCTTTGATATATTGATCTCTACTACCACTGAATCTAGATCTGTCTCTGTCAGAAAGAGATGCATTAACGAAAACACTAGTGTGCTATTTATGGAGGCTATATCTTTAACACCAAGCATTTCTGCAGACTCTGTTGATCTTCTCCTTGATTCCTTTAACTCAAAAGTTAAGAATGTTATTGATGACATTGCTCCTGTGAAAGTCAGCAAGAAGACTGGCAGACAGAAATCAGTGTGGAGAAAATCAACAGCAGTTCAGAGTATGAAAAGACAATGCAGAAAAGCTGAGCGGATGTGGCGGAAGACGAAACTTGAAATTCACTAGAGCATCTATAAAGACAGCCTTCATGCTTTCAATGTGGAACTAGCCACAGCCAGACAGAGTTTCTTCTCAAACCTTATAAATAGGGATGCTCCGATCCGCCTTTTTCACCTCCGATACCGATTCCGATACCTAGGGTTCGATATTGGCCGATACAGATACCGATCCGATACCAGTGAAGTTTTTAAAGAAAAATTTAATAAACAATAAATATGAAACAATATAGGCCTATGTATATTTATAATCTATGACAAAATTGTATCATAAACTAGGTTAGTAGATAATTCGGCAGCAAAAGTCATTCTAGAAAAATCAGTGCACAATAATTTTAGAAATCCAAACATTTGGTGAAAAAACTATATTTTGTGGGGAACAAATAAAAGTGTTGCACTAAAATGTTACACATTGCTATTTGTATTATAAAATCCATTCATTAAAACATTCATATATATGCTTAAGTATATACTATAAAATTAAAATACATTTCTTTTAAATGTGTAACATATTTTTTAATAAGGCAACAACATATGATAGATACGATAGGACAAAACAAGTACAATGCAGCACGAACTTTTTTTATACAGTCTATGAGCATGAAGTGCTTACAATGTGCGCATCCGGTGTGCAGAATGATGACGTCACAGCCTGACGCCGTGTTGCTTCAAGCGCATCATTCTGCACACCGGATGCGCACATTGTAAGCGCTTCGTGTTAAAAACTGCAAAGCACAAAGGGAAGAGAAATTAAAGAGAAAAATATCTGTGCAACAGTTATTGAGCCTTTCTTTTAACAGTTTTAAATTTCAGTTACTGTGCACGTTAAAAACGATTTATAGTCTTTTCTACGCCCGTGTTTTGTTCTCACAGACACCCGGTAGCAAGTAACAAAACAACATTAAACTCCAGCAAGAAGATAAAGTCCTTTTTGCAAAATCATAGACATGTATTTACAAATCAAGTATAATGGGAACACAGAATGATCTTGGAGAGAGCTTTACCGAGCTGACTGCTGTAACCGAACGCGACCAGGGTTTAAAGGCTGAACCAGACTTTAGACTTTAAAGGCTGAACCAGGGTTGAAAGACTGACAGCCACAGCCGAGAAAAGAGTTTGTGTGAACTTTAATGTAAGGACTTAAATATTCATATGTAGCTCACATTAAGCTATCGTATGGCTTCAAAAGTAACACAAAATCATTCGCACAATCGAAAAAAAAAATCTCGGATTTGGATCGGCCCTCTCTGACCGATACCCGATCCGAGAAAAATGGCACTATCGGAGCCGATACCCGATATGAATATCGGATCAGCGCATCCCTACTTATAAACAGTAACTTAAACAACACTCGCACTCTTTTTGCTACTGTTGAGAGACTGACAAACCCCCCAAGTCAGATTGCCAGTGAAATGCTCTCTGACACAAAATGCAATGAGTTTGATTCCTTCTTTTCAGTATGAAAATAAATGCTAGAAAAAAGTCCAATGGTTCACTGAATATAAACCTAACAGACCACTCAGATCATTAGGATCAGGTCAGTTAGAAATACCAAGGGTTCACACAAAACAAGGGGGGTCCGCTTTTAGTTATTATATCAACAGTTGGAATCAGCTTCCAGAAGAGATCCGATGTGCTAAAACATGTCACATTTAAATCTAGACTCAAAACTCATCTGTTTAGCTGTGCATTTATTGAATGAGCACTGTGCGATGTCTGAACTGAGTGCACTGTATTTTATGTATGTATAATCATCTTCTATTTTTAACTGTCTTAAATTCATTTTAAATAAATTTTTTAATCATTTTCAAAGTTTTTAAATTCCTTGTTTTATTGTTGTGATTATTTTTTTATGATTATTTTACTTCCTTTTATGTAAAGCGCTTTGAATTACCATTGTGTACGAAAATGTGCTATATAAATAAACTTGCCTTGCCTTGCCTAGCATGCATATTACTAGCATATAGGCTGTTTATTAGTACCTCTGAGGTTATTCTTCAGAAGTTATTTATACTGCATGACCATATTTTAGATCCCTTAATCCTACCCCGTACCTAAACTTAACAGCTACCTTACTAACTATTAATAAGCAGCAAATTAGGAGTTTATTGAGGCAAAAGTCAGAGTTAATAGTCAATAGTGAGAACTGTGACTGTTATTCTTATGTTTTTGGGGGATCATATTTCTAACACGCACTCTGCTTTCCAGAATAAACCTGTAGGAATATGGCATTGCTCTTCTCAGTAATGTCGGGTTGTGGTGTGTTCATGAGGTCATGTGACTCTCACCCTCCACATACAGATGCATTTTGTGTCTGTCTTTGCCTTTGGAGTTGTCGGCCTCGCACTCGTACAAACCCTCGTCCTCGTACTGGATGTTGTACAGATGGAGGAGACTTCCTGCCATACTGATGTTATGACGATGAACCGGCAGATCGCCATCCACCTTCCTCCATCGGATCTGAGGGATGGGGCTGAACACACACACACACACACACACAATATATATTACATGGTGAGAACTGCTTGTTAAACACAATCAATGTTACACAAACATAAACCTTCACCACATTGTGTTTATCAACTATAGATTATATAATGGATGCGTATATGAAAATACATGTAAGACAGAATACCAATCAGTTATCGAGTATGCAAATATTACATTCATGACACTGATGTTCCCAGCTGATCACTTACATTAAGAACTGCAACATTGTTTTGTTTTACATTATTTTCTAAAATGTTGCATCATCTAACTAAATCTACACTAATTTGCATACATTTCCAGAAAATAAATCTGAACACTGAATTCACAAAATTCTTGTTTGCTTTTGTTGACATATTACAGTTTTCGAATTTCACAGATTTTTTATTTCTATTTTAATTACTCAATAAATCAGAAAATACTGTCAACAGCCAGAAAAAAAAAAGTTTACCATGTTTTTAGGAATATAATGTTGTATAATACAGTGTGAAGGATATATGAACAAACCCCTCAGTAAAAAACTTCAGAATATAGAGAGAAATGAGTTTTAGTGTGCAAGTGCTGCTGAAGTGGAGGAAAAAACTAAAATAAATGGACTGAGATTGAAATCTACAGATGTGTATAGATAAAGTGTCATAGAATAAACACTTAAATGTGTATTTTGGATGTTTTCTTTCCATTAGTCTGAAAAAGACATGTTATGGAAGCAAAACTGCCCAGTGCATGAAAAACAATCGTTTCTGATTTATACATGAGTTCAGTGTAGGCTACTATGAGATATACTGTCATTTTCAGACCTCAAACTTCCTTCAATCCCAAACGAACATTAATTGCGACTAAACAGAAACAACTCAAGACAGATATCCAACTGTAATTGCATATGAGGTGTTATTTTGAACACTAATTTAAGTCAATAGGACATTTTCTTTGTACTTTTAATAAATCTAATCATAATTCAGTATGGAACTAAATGCTAGAAAAAAGTCCAATGGTAATTCAGCATGCAAAGTATCTTTGTACTTTAAGAAATATAATCATCATAATTCAGTATAAAATACATGAAAGAAAGACATCCAGTGGTAATTCAGTATGCAAATAATACAGTTAAGTCACTGATGCTTTTCTGAATACTGAACATTGTATCAGTGTCAGTTAATAGAAGATGTGTACTCTTGAGAAATGTAAGTTTTAAAAGAGTTTATATAGAGCACAGGCAGAACGCACATACAGCATAAAGCTGAAATGATCTACAAAATGCAGTTTGAGTGAAATCCGGATGTTAATTGATTCAAACGGAAATATTTGCAGAAAATTGTGCTGAATAATGAAGCGTTTGAGGAAAATGACTGAAGTGCTGCATTGCAAACACTGAGAAGTCATCTGTGTGGCGTTTTTCTTACTTTCCCAGCGCGAAGCACTCCAGTGTGACGTTCTGCCCCAGCAGCGTGTACGTGTCTGGAGATTTGACTTTGATATCAGCGGGATATTTCCTCAGAGAACCTGACAGAGAGCAGATATGAGATGGCAGTGAATGACTGAGGTCCTCATGGATACGTTCTTTCTTCCAGCAGAACAAGCGAGTCTCTCCTGCTTGTTTATCAGCGCTGAGGCGCTTTGACTCAACACTCTCATGATGCTGTGACAGTTACGAGCAACTGTAATATTACACACACGTATGAATCAGGAGCATGCAATGTTGAGACTGAACGGAGGATGTAGTTTTACACTAGAGATGTGCTTTAGATATTAAATGTTCATGAGGAATTAAAGCAAGACAGCACAGGTGAATAGGATAAAAATAACTAACTAACACAAGCTGATCACAGTACATTAAGAATTGAAACATTGTTTTTTATTACAGTTTTCTAAAATGTCATGTTTAAATATGAAAATCAGGCGATTCCTAAATAAATATGCGCTAATTGTACGCATTTACAGAAAATAAATCTGAACGTTGGATAAATCCAGGTTCAAAATTCTTGCTTGATTTTGTTGACATATTAGAGTTAAAGGTTTTTACAGAGGAGATTTTAGATTTCTCTTTTTATCACTCCATAAATCAGAAAATACTGTCAACAGACAGAAAACAAATATATTTTCACCATGTTGTTATGTATAAATCAGTGCGAATGATATATAAACAAACCCCTCTGTAAAACACTTCAGAATATAAATGGGAATAAAAACATAAGAATGTTGTCTTAGGATAAACTGTTACTGATATACTGAAATATACAGTTACTTTCAGACCTCAAACTTTCTCTACTGTAGAAAACGAGCATTTATTTGAGACTAAACAGCAGAAACTATTAATTTTGGACAGTTTTCTGTCATCACACAGAAGAACATCCACTGCTGAGTGATCAGAAACTCATCCCGTCCAGTCATGCTGAAGTAGGATACTATTATTCCTGAACACGTGTGTGAAACCTTGCTCTGGTGCTCTTTGAAGAGATTTTTTGAGCTTGAACAGACCTAAAATAAGGACCAGCTGACTCAGAAATACTTCAGAAACCACAGACAGTTTGTTTTCTCTTTCAGATCTTTGTTGTTCCTTCCTCACTCAGTAACACTATCAAGTGGTTTCTACAATGGAAGATATAACAACACTCTTATCATCTGGCAGCACCTCTGCATAAGCCTCACTCACATTTTATTCAGAAACTGAAAAACAGTATTAGTAAGAATAGTACAAACAGTAGTATTTACACTGGTGTTAAAAGCAAATGGGTTTAAAACATCTACACCTAACCTTGATTTAAACTGCAAAAAATGATTTTCTCCTTCAGTATTTTTGTTGTTTTCTAGTAAGTACACATCTGAAGATTCTTAAATCAAGATACATTTACTTGAGACGCAAAATGACAAAGTCTTGTTTTCAGAAAAATGTAGTTCATATTTTAAACAAAAAAAATATCTGCCAGTGCGGTCAGAAAAATAAACCTAATTCAAAGGGGAAAATCCTTTTTTAATATATTTTTTCAGTGTAGGACGATGATAAAGAGACTCACGCTCGGCTATGGGCACCAGTGGGATGAACTTGCTGAAGACGCTCTTGGCGATGGACGGACTGGAGACGAAACAGGAGTAGTTCCCGCTGTCTGATGCTCGTACGGTGGAGATGTAGAGGTTCCCAGTGGTCTGAGACACAAAGCGCCGCTTGTCCAGAGGAATGAATTCCGGAAACTCGTTGAGTATCCAGCGGAAGAACAGATCCTCTGTCGAGAGCACAGACAGGAAATTATGCAAATGTGTCAGTCAAACTCACAAATGACTGTCAAACTATAGAGTCAGGTGCCATGGTAACCTGGGAAGTGTGGAGGCGGAGCACACAGAAGCACCGCCCCCTGCCCCTCCTTCACATAGACCGCCTCCCGCTCGTCCGAGGAAAACATGTCCAAGTCTAAAACACAAGATGGAGATTTTATTTCAGTTTTAGTTTGGTGTAATAACCCTGATTCATGGGAACCTCAAGAGTAATCAAATTTAAATAAGTTACATTTTTACAAGTTACACGTTTGCTAAAAATTTGAATATTTTTCCAGGAGAAAAATAATGCAATTTTTGAATAAAAATGTTGCCTAAAATAATTTAAAACAAGACAACACCAGATATAGAATATAGAATATAGAATTTAATTAACTCGCACATCAATTTCACACATAATAGCAGTAAAACTGCACAGAGGACACTTTAGAGTCATAATTCAGCAGAAACCGCAGAAACACTTCAGACATATGACAGCAGAAATTAATATCCGTCAAGCTCAGAACAATAACCGCGTTGTGTGTGTGTGTGTGTGTGTGTGTGTGTGTGTGTGTGAGAGAGAGTGTTTGTGTGTTTACGCGTTTTTGTGACAAATGAGGACATAAATTTGTATAATGACAAAGGTATGACATAGGTATTACAAGGAGAAGGTGACTTTTCAGGACATTACCCCATGTCCCCACTTTTCAAAACGCGTATAAATCACACAGAATGGAGTGTATTGAAAATCTGAAATAGCACAAAGTCTCCTGTAAGGGGTAGGTTTAGGGGCAGGGTTGGTAAAGGGCAATAGAACATACTGTACAGCATAAAAACCATTACGCCTATGGGATGTCCCCACTTTTCACAAAAACAAACCTGTGTGTGTGTGTCTGTCTGTCTATCTATCTATATC